GATTCTTAAAATTGCCTTGCCTTTTCGACAGCTGTTTAGGATGTAGGTTTCAGGAAACCATCTATAATGACTCCAAAATCTGTCATCAGTGTAAATAGCCTATTTAGAGCTTATCTTTCTATAGTTATAGTAAGGGCTGTTTCTTTCCCCGCATGCCTTACTAATATTAGACTTCATCTGCTGCTTTATTGCTCAGAATCATGAGATCCATCTGCGCTGATTTGCAGTCACGTTCCAGACTAGTCTGCAAACATTGTCACCTCCCAGCTCATCGTAAGGACATGTCCCTCTGCAAAACCTTAAGGAACGCAGTAATCATTTCACTCCACTGTGAAAACTTCTTATTCCTGCTCCTTTCTCCCTCCACCGTGTCCTTTATTAAGTTATGAATCCTCAGGAGGACTTTTCTCTTTACCTTTTGTCAGCTTAGTTGTAAGAGCCTTCTGTATGAGGGACATAGTTAAATGTTTTTTAAAAATCTAAGTGTTTGCATTCTGGGGTCGCTTTTAAACACAAACTTGCTGGTTCTTTGGAAAACTTGAGAGATTTCTGAGGAGTGATTTCCCTCTGCAAACAACATATTGACTCTTCAGTGCTGTATGATGTTTTTCCATGTGTCTACTTGTTTGATTTTTATTTTTTCTTCACCTCATAATAACAAGGAGAAACTACAGTATTTAACTATAGCATTTATTATTGTAAAGTTTCCAGTATTACTAATGGAGCTCTCTTTAAAGACTGCGGATGATACTTCTTCACCTCAGAGTCTTTAGGGATTACATGGAATTTAGAGAGGCAGGGTGAAATTTGTGGGCTTTTGTCGGGGGAGAAGGGGGGGGGTGTTGCATTTACTGATTAAAGTTTAAGAATAAAATATCTTGTATCCAGTGTTCTTGCTCATATTATATGATCACCCTGTATGAATCTTCTCTTCCTCTTACTCCTCTGTATGCCGTTAGAGGTACTAAGGCCTAACAATCTATACTCAAGATATTCCTTAAACTAGCAAGCTTCATCCACGTAATTACATTTTCACCTGCAGCTAATTCATAGTATGAAGTAGTATGAATTAACATAGTACATTCCAGTTCACCAAGCAGCAGCACATTCATTTTCTTATTTCATCTTTGTTACTTCAAATAATTCTTTGTAGTTTCTGGATGGGAAGTGGTGTGTAGAGGATTTTTAAGATGGAGAATGTTCCATAGCTCAAGGGAAAAACCTGTTTCAACAATATGACAAAATTCTAACAGTGACCTCACCAGTGTGAGGAGGAGTTCCAAATGTTTCCAATGCTTGGTTGTCAAAACAGTAATGTGTTAATTTGTTTAATAGGGGGGAAAAAAAAAAGCACAACAAAAAACTCTTCATGCTTGCTTCCCATTAATTTTTTGCACTGGACTACAAGGCTTCATTAAATTTCCATCTGTCAGATGTGGAAGCAAAATCTTCAGAGTATTAAAATATGCTTGACAGTGTTGTAGGACACAAAGGTGATGTGGAATGCAGAAGACTCTGTATGGTCCCTGGTTTTGTCCTTTGGGGGGACTTAGCCTTGTGTAATTGTATCTGTGACTAAAAATAGTTTCTGTAGGTATGTCAAACTCACTCCTGTTTGCTCTTTGAAGGTGGACTTAAGGAGCTTAATTGTTTTCCCATCTTTAATGGCTTTGTTCCTCCTTGTCTTTTTGCTTGCCTGAAATCTTAAATTAGTACAGTTTAATTGACTATCACAGATGCAGCAAACACAACATAAGCTAAATTTTTATATGTAGAAGGATCAATATATTGAAATATATGGAGATACATATATTTGTGTGTATGTATAATTAAGTGTGTGTGTACATACCATCATGAATATTGACAACAGCAAAATATTCAACACCAATTTCACTTGCTTTTTCTGTAGGAGAATATTACTGGAAGTGCTGACTTGGACATCCAAGACTGTTAGTTTTTGTAGCCTGAAGGTCAGCATGTATGCTCAGGGGAAAGATTTATGGGATTATGGACAACCAAAATGAAGGAGCTGCTGTGAAAGGATAAATTTAGTGAAGCATGAAGTATGTCATGTTCGGAGCACTGCACAAGATATTAACAGCAGTCTGGGAAGACTTTATCATGATGATTTGTTGTAATGTGCAGGCTGCTCTCCCCTTATCCAACTTAACAGTGGCTCACTTCAGGAGCATTAACGTAATTTAGGCAGATAAGAAAACAGCATCCTTCACTGGAAGAAGCCTTTTTTTATCTTTTTCTTTTTTAAATTTTATTTTATTTTTTTTAAATCAAGGACATAACATCGTTGTGGTTTTTGATGCTTTTTTAAGTGGCTCTTTATACCTTTGGAAGCCAGAGAAAGCAGGTGTATGGTTTTCTCTTGAAACATCTTTACAGTAATATTTTTTAAATTGACTTTTAAAAGATATACAGAAAGGACCATTGCATAACCTCATAATTATGTAATTCAGAATTAAATACCTATGCTAATTTCATACTTATTAAGAAAATGGCACATCTGTGACAACCTATTTAGTAAACTTTTCCTCCAAACTCAGAGCATGTGATGTATACTCTGACACCTCTCTACAAGTGAATAGGGTGATAGTGTTTGGAGGACAGTTTTCTGCAAAGTCTAACAAAACCTTTGCATTAATGTGAATTTACTTTTTTTTTCCTTCTCCCTCTTACAAGGCACGTATACCTTGGGTGAGTGTGTTTTTAGTGTTCCAGTGTGAGAACCATTTTGTGGTTAGCATAGATTGGCTGAACTTGTGGCAAAATGAACATATTCTCCTTTGCCAGCACTTGGACCAAAGTAAAATATCCATCTCTTTAATAGACAATGCAACTAACTGCTTTTATGCTCTATTGCTTTTTTGGCTTGCCTTGCTGCATTGTTTGGGGGACACGGGAAGGGTGATGAGGCAAGGAAGGAGAATTAAAAGTGTGGGGGCAAGAGCCCTGCCATCTCCCCGTTGTGCTGAGGCAGCGACAGCGGGGGGGGTTGCAGGGTGACCTGCAAACCCGAGCCTGCGGCAGCGGCGAGAGGACAGCAGCCATATGGAGACGGCAGGGAGGCGGCAGCTGGACTGCTGGGGTTAGGGAAGAAAATGATGGAACGGCAGAGGAGCTTGTCACAGCGGGCACAGGGCCCGGTGAGCAGTCGGTGGTGTGGACAGGTCTCTCCTCATTCCCAGCAGCAGGCACCTGCGGAGGAGCTGGGCTCCAGAGGAGAATGCAGCAGTGGGAGATCAAGGAGAGTAAATTGAGTCAAATTGCAGTTATTCATAGTGAAGATAAGAAGTTTTGTTTTGTGCTATGGCAGAAGTTTAGAGGAGAATGTCTCTGAGTGCTAGGAGAGCAGGCAGTAAATTAAGGTGAGGTACTTTGCAGCTCTTCTCTTTCATTGTGGAGACCCATTATGAAATAACTTCAGAAAGCAGGAGTATTCTCTGCACAGACATGGGTACTTTGGTATGCAGACTATTTTCTGAGACACATTTTTTCATTTGTCTGGTCACATGTTTTTATTATATGGTGATGTGGGGCATGTACTTTTTTTTTGCTAAGACAACTGTGGAAGTGACAGCGATTCATTTACTTGTGCTAGAATGAACATCTGCTGCTGCTTTCCTGATAAAGCTCAGAGAAAGATTACTTACCTTCCTTTGGGTTGGTTGTGTAAGCTTACACAAAGTTTGAAATAAGTAAAAAATATACTTTCACCTTAAATGTGCAGAATACAAGAAATTATGATCTTTGGCTGAAGGGGTCTGCGTTCTAAGCACTGGAAAGTTCAGAAGGGCTTAAGCACTTGTGTGCTGAAAAGAAACAAGAGTCAGAAGAATTATAGTTTTTTCCAAAGCACATGTTTCCCTGGTATTCCTCATAAGCTTAAATTAGATAGCAGTTGGTACTATATTTAGCAAATTTGCTTGGAGTCTTGTGTGCTCAAATGAATTTTTCCAGAACAAGCGGCACTCCGGGAAATGCCCATGCACGCCTGTCAGTGGTATCTCCATCCTAGCCATGTAACAGCTCTTGGCTTTCACCAAGAATTCGCTTTTTCTCTTTGCTAGAATTTGATTTCATGGCCTCAGTCTCTGTTCCTGTAAAATAAAGATACAGTATTAATTCTTAAGGATGCTTTGAAGTATATGGCTAAAAAATTTGAATGGGATTTGGATACTTGGATATTTTGAAATGTAGTGGAGAAAGTGCAAAATAATGTTGCTGTCAGGAATTTTTTTTTTGTGAACTCTTAGCATATATAGGAGGCCTTCTAGTGTAAGAGGGAAAATGTTTTTAATTAGTGAATATTAACTACTTAAACTGAGGAATAGATATTCTGGTGTTTATGTTTCTAATTCTACCAAAAAAAATTATGAGAGTTATGAAAAACTTCTTAATAGCTATTTTGCCAAGGCCATAATGGTGGATGGTTTCCATAATTCCTGTACTGTGATTCTTGGAAAGACTAATTTTATCTAGGTAATCAGCAATACCTCAGCTTCTGGTACTATATTAGTATTTTACTTTTAATGATGAGAAATACTTAGAGAATAGAAGTTGTCCATGCTTTCTTGTAACTTTAACAGCATTTTGTGAATGAATTCGTAAACAGGATAGCATGATCTTTTTTCCCCTCTTTGGATTCCCTATTCTCTTGGCACAAGCATTTCTTTAGAAAAGTCGATTTTGAATGGTGTGCTCATTTTTTATTATATATGCAATATATTTGAAACAGTGTTATCCTCTTGTTATGCAAAGAATTGTAATTTCATAAGTCTCAAATGATGTGGGAACTTCTTTTGAAAAAACAGCATCACTTGAATTACCACAGATTTTGATTGCCGAGTCTTGAGTTTCTTTGCAGTCAAGCATACGTTCATTTTCTGTAGTCTGTTTGAAACAAATGTGAAGCAATCATTGGATCACAGGCATGACTGCCATCGCAGTTGGAGTGATAATACAGCAACTATATTTTTATTTTGTAGCCGATGCTTTTTTCAAAGCTGCAGTGAGCCTTGTTCCTGAAGTGCCAAAAATGATCAGTGTAGATGGAAAGATGCGACCTTCTGATGCCTTCCTCCTGGAATTCCTTTGTAATTTTTTTTCCACATTATTAGTTGTTCCGGTAAGTTGTGTGTATATGAATAGCACATAGACTATTTTGACTTTCCTGTTTAAAAGTTTAGAGCAGACTGGGCTTTTGGTAGTGGGAGATGCACTGGTTAGTTTTCCAGCAGCAAGCTGAACCAATTTGCTCATTGGCTGCAAAATAACATAACCCAGCGCAAAATCAGGAGGCAGAACAATTGCTTGGGGGTGGAGGTACAGCATTGCCTATCTCAGTAGCACCTTGAACTCAACTGGATTTGGGATAGAGTGAAATCTCACCGTCATTTAATTGTGTAAACATCATTTACTGTTTCAGCAGATCCTTCCAGAAAAGTGGTATTATAGCTGAGCACTCACAAAATCTCATACCTGAGAAGTGGAAAAATACATAGCTCTAGTTTCTACTAATTTCAGTTACTTTGTTACAGGTTGCCTGATCTTTTTGAGTGAAATCAAGAACTACAAGATGTGTTTTGGCATAACCTTCCTCTTATGATGAATATTTCACAAAATACTGCCATTCTGCACCCTTACAATTTTTAACCAATTGTCAAGTTTATATATATATATATATCTATATATCTGTGTGTGTGTGTGTGTAAATTTCCTTCCTATATTTGCAGCTGTAGCTAAAAGATGAGGAAAAATTGTAAATTAATCTGGAAGACCTGAAATAAAATTTACATAGCCATGGTATTTTGTTGACCTTAGAGAAGAAAGACAGGCTTCTGACTCATTTCACTGCAGCAGAAACCTAACACTTGAAGATTTTACCTCCCTCTGTTAACAGCTCTGGCCCTCTCTGAGAAGATTCTTCTTTCCCAGCAAGGGAAAAAAAAAAAAAAAAAAAAAAAAAAAAAAAAATCTGAGGTTTATTAATTTGCTCTTGGAGAAAGTACGTTGTTCCTCCTCGCTGAAACTTTCCTTATGGTTTTCTCCTTCCTTTTTTCTTTGACTATGTGTTTGGGGAAGTAGCACACAGCCTAGTGCTGTCCAAAACCTCTTAATCAGCAGTGGATTCTCCTTCTCCCAGTGGAAGGGGTCTCCCAAGCCATGCATGTGCAGCAGCATGGAGGTGCTGTGTTGTTAGAAGGGGAAGGCTAGTTGTCTCTGTGGTGTGTTGTTGCTGCCCACTGCTTGCAGAAGTACAGCTTCGAAGGAAGGCTGTGTCAGATCTGGGTGCTGCTCAGCAAAATGGCTCAGATCATTAACAGATGATTGAAGGAGGGAGATCCAACTTCTTAGGTTCAGTAGTGAAGAACTTGCAATGAGATAATGGGATACAGAAATTAATTTCCATACTGTTTTTTCTCTTTATTTTACAAGATAGATGATCAGAAGTAAATGTCCCCAGTGGACTGTGACTTGTCCTGCATATGTTGGTGTCATTGCATCAACTGCCAGCTTGAAATAAACTGAGTGTAGTATTAAAACTGCTTGCAAAAATTCATAGCTTATGTAAAGCATATGTCTTTATATTCCTTTCATATTAAAAGATTGTTGACTGTAACTTTGACTTCCCATTGTAGGTGTTCTTCTGAAACGCATAATTATATGAGTAATATACTTGTTTCTATAGCACAATGACATTATTTTAATAAAAAAATGTGCCCAGTGTGTTTAATTTTAGAGGCTTAGCTGTAAAGAAGCTGACAATTAATTTTGTACTACTCCCCCATGACTAGAAAACAAAGCATTTCAAAGTCTGCGGAGGCTGCCTAGATCAAGTTTATGATTATGGGTCAAATGGGCATTTTAGAAGAAAATTGGAACAAATTTTTTAAAGTATTTGCAGGAAGCACACTTAAAAGTATTTTTCAGCTTTAATTATCTTGTAGTTTTTGCTTTTATAGAGCTAATATTGTGACTCTAAACCCTTGAATGACCACAAATAATTGTGTTGTTGGTTTTGACTTCTTTCTTTTTTGTAGGACCATCCAGAACAAGGAGTGTTGTTTCTTGTGCGAGGATTACTAAATGTGATCCAGGATTATACCTGGGAGGATAACAGTGATGACAAAATCAGGATTTATACTAATGTTTTGCATCTGCTGTCTGCAATGACTCAAGAAGCATATATCTACCATGTAGATAAAGGTAATACATAAGGGTGGCTCTGGATCCTTCTGTTCCACCGTGCAATTTGTAGTATTGTGTTATCACCGTACCTAGTTAATGAAGACCAATGGTAGTCGATCTTATAGAATGGATTATTTTCCTGTGCAGGTCCAGATATTGTAACTGAAAATAATCACTGGAGGTGGCTCCCAAACAGATGTACCATCTGTCCTTTAAATTGAATCTGTGCTGAGTGGTTTACTTGGTTTATTCCTGACGGTGTTGGTGCATACTTAGAACTGTGAACTTTTCAAGTAAATATTAGAACTTTATATGTATGGAGTGTTTACTTTCAGTCTAAACTATCGGCTTGATTTATACTTCTCGTTGGTGCTTCAGTCACATTTATTAACAACTCCAGTTTTCAGAATGTAATGCCTAGTCTTCATTATTTAGATGATGTATTTGCTGCTTTGAAGGCAGGCTTTTGGAAATTGTGATGTAACTTAAAAATCTTCTCAGAATAGTTAGAAAAAAATTCTAAAGAGTTTGCATTTTATAAAATGGCTGTAGTCTCTTTGTAATAATATTTTGGTATGCTCTAAAATTTGACTGTCATCTGATCATCGATTGGTTACTAAATTAAGGTAGAGTATAAATTGAATTTAAAAAAAAATACTGGAAAGATTAGTTAGTCTGAGAAGCCAAGCTAGTCTATCATTTTCTTTTAGGGTTTTCCTAAAGAGGCAGGCTGGAATATATTCTGCAGTTCTTCTGGTGAATGGTCTGTCAGTTCTGTCAGTTACCAACCATAACAAAATATCTCTTGCAGTTAGAGCACAGAAAATACTTGTCAGTTGAACAACTACTCTAGTAAATTTGCTGTTCAAATTCTGTAAGGAAATGTGGTTTAGCTGCTTTTTCTTTCTTTTTTTTTTTTTTTTTTTTTTCATATGACCAAAATAGCTGCATAATCCCAACATGAAAAGTCTAAATGAATGAGATTTAAATTGAGAGAAGCATGGAAATATAAATTAGTAATTTTCCCCCTGTAGTTAGATGATGTGTTTTTTCCTAAGTGGATCATGTACCTCAGATTCTTAAATGAAGTTTACTTGGGAACAGGGAATCATCTTTTATCTTACATGCTCTCTGATTTACCCAGAATACACTTAAACTTACAAATTTCTTGTAACTTACTTCTTAGTAAAACATGATGAGATTAAACCACATGTTTAAAATCACAATTTTAGAAACTTTTAAAACTCCCTCCCTCCTGAACTGAAAATACACTTTCTGAATTTCTCTCCATGACTTCAAGGTAATCAAGGTTTTATTTTAAGAAAAAAAGATGCAATTTTCTTTAAAAAATTTTGTTGTTTTCACTAAGTGTTTGGCCCAGTCTTGCTGACATTGAAGATGATGGCCATACTCTTCTAAACTGATGGGAGCGGAGTGTCTGTCTCTGCAGAAGTGAAAATTGACGCTATATGTTGCTTTGCATTTAAGTCTAGCAGATACTTTTGAACCTGTCTGCATCCAAGAATGCAGGATTGGCTTTAAGCTAGAAAATTCTTTTCAGTGTTTTGTCCCTAAAATCAAGAGGACATAGCAGGCAACCAAGTGGTAGGCACTTGAACAAGATTGTTATATTTGTGTTTTGTGGAGGAGGGTCATTTTATAACTTCATATCTGGACTTCTATAAATAGCTGGTGTTTTCAGTAGCAAACAAATGCATAGCTCTTTAGCCAGACCTAAGCTTGAATTCATCTCTGCAGTTGATTCCAATGATACCCTGTATGGTGGAGACTCCAAGTTCCTGGCTGAAATTAATAAACTGTGTGAAACAGTGATAGCACAGATCCTGGATCATCTGAAAACCCTTGGAAAAGAAGAGGTATGTACTTACTCATCTTGATTCAATACAAAACCAAAATCACTTTGGAGTTGAATAAAGGAACCACCTTCTTGACCAGGCATTGGTCTTCTAGAAAGCTCCAGGAACCTTACAAAAGAGGAAATTAGGTCATTTTACTTGTTTAAAAAGTGAGTCAGTCACGTAGGCTGGCTTGTGGTGGAGAGACGTGATGATGTGAAAGAAATCATGTGGCAATTACAATACATTTTTAAGATGCTTGCTAAAGTTACCTGCTTAGCTGTATGCTGGATAGTCTGATAGAACCAACAAGCAGTAGAAGCTACTCTGATGTACTCTGTGATATCAATTCTGCCGATACACCAAAGGTTGTGATTCTGCTGCAGTACAGAATGATGATTGCAGTGTAGTGTAGTGAGGTTAGAGTTAGCTTTGAATTAACTGGCTTGAGTCCTGGTGTAGTTTGGTTATGGAAATATGATGCTCAGTGTGGGATAATGTTTTTTTCTTGTTATAGTCAGAAAAACTCTCATGAGCTCCACGATGCTGGTATTGCAGTTATTGGCCTAAGAGAATTGGAGACAGTGCCACAGTCACTCCTTTGATTGCTGTGTAGTTACACCTAAAATCTGTTCCCTGTCTGCCCTTCCTGTTGTTTCCTCCTGGCTGTCAAATTTCTCTCTCTGTAAATAAACCGTTACTATCTTGCCACCTAAGTTAACAGTAATGGGCAAAGTGAGACTTCACAGTTACTCTGTTACTGAGTAAAATACAATGGAAACCACCTTTAATTGGTAAAAGTTTTGGATCCCAGACAATAGGATGAAGTCACGAGGGAGGTGCAGAGAGAGGTAAAAAGTGTTTTGGCTTTACCCTGTATTTAGTACAGGGTTATGTTTGTTCAGTATAAAATAAACTCTAGGCAGCCTATTGGATTTCTTGATTTGAGTTCAGAGGCTCTGAGGAATTAAATATAGCTTAATGGATTGTATGTGAAAGGCAGGTGACTAATGTTTTCAGTATTACTGAAATAATGAGAACTTACTGTTCTGCTAATGTATCTGTTTCTGAGATTGAACCCTTCCACAACTTCCTGATCACCCGTTACTAAACTGCTGTATATTAATAGAAAACTTGTAGCTTGTACACTGAAATGGGAGGGTGCAGGTAATGGTTAATTTGCTAGAATTTTTTAGGTAGCCTGTTTGCACAGAGCCTGTAGTGTTTGCCAATACAGGATGTGTTAAGTGATACATATTTGGAAGATGCTATGATAAGTATAGCCTTTTCTCTGCTTTTGCTATCCTGTTTATCCTCCTTGAGTAATTGTAGAGATGCAAGATGAATAAATCCTTTGGCTCAAATGTCTCTATATCGCTGTACACATCACCACAGTGAATAGCAGTTCTTTTTCAGAACAGTAACAGCAGAAAACAACCATTCTTGCACAACTGAGAATGTCCAGGCAGATATTGGAAGGAGATTTTTAACAGAGTTTTCAGGACACTGAGTTGTATATTAAGGACTTTCTGCATCTGATTGCTGTATGGAATATGTGGGTGGGAATGTTTGTAGGGCTTCAAATATGTGGTTTCTGAAAGGCTTTTTTTCTTTCTTTCCGCTTTCAAGCTTAATACTTTGAGTAATGAGATCCTGTGTTATTTCACTGAGGCAGTTGTTGCACAGAAAAATGGATTTAAAGCTAAGCAGCATGGATATAGGTTCTTTGCCTCTGTGGCCTTGAATTTACTCCTCTGTTCATCCTTATTTACAAAGGGGAAGCATTTATTTTGTTTCGTTGAATAAGTCATTGAGAGATTTAGATAAAAATTGTTTTGTAAAAATAAATAGTTTTTTGAGGAAGCCGTTGTTGCTGAGGAAATAGAGGCGACAATATTGTCAGAGACATTTGTGCTAAAGTGGAACAGATCATAAAATCACTGTGGTATTTGGATTGCTTCAGTGTGGTGACCTTTCATTATTCATCTTCTTGGCTGCTCATTTAAATGAACAAATGTGCAATGATTCTGTGTTTTTATTGGTTCATTTCCTTTAAAAGCTATAAAGGAAAATAAATTTTTCTCACAATAAAATGCTTTCACCAAAATGGCAATTTGGAAGAGAAACAATACATCTTATGTTAACACAGTGTAGTCTTTTTGCAATATGAGAGAACGCTTCATTTATGTGACAGTGTTGGAACGGAAATTTTCAGTTCTGGACAGTTCTGTAAAGTTCAAGCTGTTTCTGGTCATGAGAGCATGTTTCAGTGGATCCTCTCTGCCCTTGTGTGGGTGGAAGACTAATCTTATGCTCCAGGTTTCTTAGAAATGTAAATACCTTGCCTCTTTCAGTGATAAATGTCCAGATGGAATATGTTTTAGTCAAACATGACTCCTGATCCAAAACGTTAGGAGCACGTTGTTGTGTCCTTGGCAGTGCCATGATAGGATGGTATTCTTCCCATGTACCATATGATAGATACTGGACTTTTTATATGGAGTAGTAGAAAGCAATTCCTGTGTATGCTGTTGAAGCTTCTCCTTTTAACACATTTGATACTTATAAAAACTTCAGTTGATTTCACAAGTGTTTGAATACCAAACTAGAAGCAGAGTTGGACATAGTTTGGGAGGGGGGGTATGTTTTAAATTGAGGTTGCTCATCATGAAGAATTTTGTGTCCTTGGCCAAGATTTTCTAAAGGTGGTTAAACATTATGTTCCTCTTTGGGAAGAGGGAGGCAAGAGAATTTATCTGCTGCAGTTTCCAGAAGGCATTGCAGGTGGTGGAGGTGCATGTTTTGGCACGCTTGCAGCTTGCATGCTGGTGGCTCAGCATGAGGAGGGTGCACTGCAGTGAGGAGCTGTGGCTGGTGAGGGCGTATCAACTCCACTGCTTTGTCTCAGAGTTGGAGAGTCCAAACTCCCAGATTAATCCCTTTATTACACCATTGTCTCTGGCAGGCTGGTGGAGTTTAAAGACTAGAAATATTTTAATTGGGAACATTGTTTCTGCATGTTTGTGAGGTACTTGGTAAATGGGGGAAATCAAAATAAATAAATTGGGATTCTGCTAGTGAATCAGCAGAATTAGTGAGTATGGCTTTAGAAAGTACAGCCTGGTCCTCCATGAACCACAACTTCCACATGGAGCACATCTTTGTTGGCTTAATTTTAGAAGGGAATCAAACTGATGCGAACAGCACTATGAATATTGAAAGATTTAAAAATACATTAAGGAATTTGAAATAGAGCTGAACCTACCATGGTGCCAGTATAGAGCTACGAGTAAAATATTTCAGCCTGCCTTAATCAGAGGTGTGTTACTGCACCCTGAGCCAGCAGAAGCTGTCACTGAGGCTCTGAGTAATCTAGAGGGAGGTTCTGGACTGCTTTCTCAAGGATTGTACCCAAAAGAAAGCACTTTCTCTTCCAACCATCTCGGCATTCTAGAGATGTGGCAAAACAGGAGATGTGTGTCCTCTTGGGTGGTATATGAGCTCCCAGCTGCAGCTCGGTTCTTCAGATCATTATTTCCTTTTATTATAAATGAACTTATATCGGCTGCCATTGGTGCTAGGTGCTTCATTTATCCTGTGTTAAGACAGTTGTATAATGAGTTGAGCAGCTGGTCTGCCCCATGCAGCTCACGATATTCCCAGTGAACTAACAGATGTTAAAAATTCCCAAAGGGCTTCACATGGGAGCTTTTAAGGAAAGGCAAGGCTGCTGGTCATGGCTTTCTTGAGGAATATCTAGATTTGGATCACAAGGATGTAACCACCAGCATCACAGTCGTGCTGGAATGAACTTTGGGCTGGATAGTTCAGGTAACACTAGCAAACAGTTGCTATACCAGCATGGAGACTTGGCCTAGACTGATATATTTAGTACCTTGGAGGAGCCTTACAGGCCATGCTGAGCTCAGTGCTGCCACAGATGAACTGTTAACAAGTATCAAGAGACAGTTATTTTAAAGCTGTACATGGGAGCTGCAGCAGGCTTGGACGCCCCTTCAGAGGAACAACACATCTAAATGCACAAATGCTTTTCTAACAGAAGGCTGGAGGTATTCTTATGACATAGATGCCTGGCAAAAGTCACTGAAATACAGGAATGAATATTTGAATTGCTAGCCAGAATTTTGTGAAATACAATATTACATGGTCCATTATATGAAAGATCCTATTTTTTTCTGTTACACTATATGAAATTTGGACATTGCTCTGCACTTTGGTGGAGGGGCTAGGACACAAGGGGGTCACGTTCTGGGATGATGTAGTTTGTTCTTCGTTTCATTGTCATCAGCATTATTCCAAAGATTATGGAAAATGCGCTGCCTAGAAGGCTGGCAATTCTTTTTGGTGTGGGAATTGCTAGTCCCATGATGTATGTGGTTGCCAAATAGCTGAGCTGTTGCTCTCTCTTTGCTGCCTGTGAATACATCCTATGAGTTGGAGTGCCACCCACAATTCAATCTCAGTTATGTCAGCAGGCTTGACAGCATGCTGGCATCAGTATCTCCCTCAGCTTGGAGGTCGGTGCTATGTTACACAAACATTCCTGTTCATCATCATGTGCAGGGTTGTCTGACTCTTCTTGTTTGTTTTCAGATGTGGTGGGATTTACTGCATACCTGAGCCTGCCTCTCTCTTCACTTTGCATTGTATAACTGATGACTAAATGCCAAAACCCTGTCTGTTCTACCTCCCCCAATACAATGAGAGTTAGTGTGCATCTCATTCTTCCAGCTTTTTATTGTGTTTCTAGACCCTTTTTGAAGTGTGATCCTTTTTGAAGTACGTATGTTTCAAATGAATCAAAATGTCATCCTTCTTTTAAAGAATGGATTTTGTATTTGAACTGATACTGCCTGGAAAACCTCGCTAGTTGATATTCAGACTGGAGTACTGCTGCTTTTGCATTCTGCCCAATAATTTAACTGTCTCACTTCTGGTGTGGAAACCTCCAAGCAATTCCCAGTAGCCTCTCTGAGGTTTGTATTCAGCAGAAGACACATAGGCATTAGATGGTCAATGGGGAAAAAAGTTCTAGGTAGTACAGGTTATTTTGTTAATCCAGGACACGTGGTGATGTGGCAGGATGCCTTGTGAATAATGTGGCAAAACATGGACTAGCAGGCTCTATCCTGTATTTGTTTTTCCCTGAAGTACAGTTCAATGCTCTCAAAATAACGGCTGTAGGGAGCTACTGGGATGGAAATTGCTAATGTTGAGAACTGTTACAAGAAGAGCTGTCTTGGTAGTTTCATGTAATTAACAGTGCTTTGAGAACTCCTGGAGCCTTGAGAAGCTCTGGGCATTGCATATGCACGCATGCAGGTGTGCAGGTGCACTGTTTCTGATGCACCAGATTTTCTCTGCATGTACAGATCTACTCTGTGTGTCACATATGTACAGTAGCAGTCTGATGCTTCTAGTGTGGGGCACACCGTGTCCTCTTTTCTAGTTAGCCAATTCTTTAATGGCATGGCTTTCTCCTTTTCCATTTTTATCTGGAGGACCAATAGCTCAGTGTGTTGCATTTCTTTGATTAATAGCATCAGACCATCTCTTCTGCTGCACTGAGAAGGGAAATTAATTTACTTTTGGTCCCTTAGAGAAAGGGCAGAGGTGGTGTGGCTGCACTGGTATTGTGTCAGGAGCACACAAGTTAGAGATCACTACACTCCTCTTACCCCAATCTCTGCCTTGTTCTTCCTGTAACTTCATCTCTGAACACTGTGTATTAGCTATTCCAGCACATACTGAACTGAGAGGGCTGAAGTATTAAGTTCATTAATCGAGGTGCTCAGCTGACAGTTTTGTTTTACTACTCTGCTGCTGTGGTTTCTGTGTAAGATGGAGCTATGCTTTTATCTGTGGTCTTCCTTGAGCAAAAACCAAAGGACAGCTGCAGCAAAGCAGTATAAACAAATACTACATCTCAGATGCATCCAATAATAATTCATCCTTTTAGGCTTTTAAAACTTATTCTGTAGGAATCTGCAATAGCATTTTAATTACTTCTGTGTTCCACTCACCCCAAATCAGGGTGGTAGCACCCTGTAAGCTTAGTGCAGGATTGTCTGCCCCAGAACTCCTCCACAGAGGCTGAAGGGTATGGTGCTCCTCCGTGGTAGATTACCATGAACCATGGGTTCTCCTCAGTAATTTTAGGGAAAGTAGCTGCAAATGTGGTGCAAATATGTTGGTATCACTGAAGTTTCACTGAAAGAATAGCAGGGAAAAAACATCTTGGGTGGTGGGAGGGTGATTTCCATGCAACTGTAGGGAGTCTTGGTTAAAAATGTGTCAGAGCTACATAATGTGCTGTGCCAAAGTGGTATGAGATGCAAGAGTCTTGTGTAATTATTTTATTTACAGCAACTTAGGTTGATTCATGACTGTACTATCACAAGTTGTTGCATTTTGAATGGAACATGAGAACTATGCCCCTAATCTTGTGTCTGTAATTATTGCTGTGTATTGCAATACAAGTATCTGCCCCTTGCACTTGTAAGAGTTCAGAGAACCTGGTGAGGTAATGCTGGGTATTCTGGGATGACTACATGTTAATAGAGGAATTTTTTTTTCCTTTATAGACACTAAAGCGACAAAGCCAGTTGGCACTCTATTTCTTTAACACTATTCTAGCTCATGGGGATCTACGAAACAATAAACTAAACCAGCTTTCAGTCAATCTCTGGAATCTTGCTCAGAAACATGGCTTTGCTGACACCAAAACTATGGTAAGGAAAACAGATAATTCAGAGACATTTTAGTTCTTAAGATCATTTGGTAAAAGGTAACATTTTCTTGATCTAAATAAACCTCTTTACAAGTTGTTCTCTTAAAAAATTAAATGAGCTTAAAACCCCCTCTATTTTTAAAATGTTCTTAATTAGTAAGCAGCTTCTCTTATTTCAGGTGGTCTGTATCTTTCTAGCGTATTTCATACATTAAGGAACCTGGAAATGTTAGGTATTATAACTTTTTTTTTTAATACAAAAAACTATCTTTAAGAAAAATACAGCATTTTTATTTAGTGGAGGAACTGCATGGTAAACTCGGAAAGTGGGCATTGATATATACATTATAACAAGCTCTGGAGTAAGAAATGCAAGTGCTCATGTAGCTAGTGAAATTTAGGGAAAATCATGAGTGTCTGTTAAAACACCTTCACATAGATTAAATGATGGCCTATGAAACGAAAAAAGGTAAAACCAATAAAAATCTCAAAATATCTTTCATTTCGTACCCAGGTGAAAACGCTAGAATATATCAAGAGGCGAAGCAACCAACCTGAAATGAGTCACTTCACAGACTTGGCCCTTCGGCTTCCCCTGCAGTCCAGGACCTGACGAATGCCTCTTCCACGGGGCCATCTGTACAAGAGAGCATGGAGCTCACTGATCTACATTCTGACTGGAGAAGTTCAGTGTATTTTTATTTTACTTAGTGTGACAGATTTACTTGGACAGGTAAAGGTAAAACTGTTCTGAGTACAATAATTTTACCTGAATTTCTGTCTCCAGTTTTTTTACCACTATATTCTTATTTTAAATGCTGATTTAGATTCAGTAAAGGACATTTCGAACCTCTATCGTTGAAAAAGCCTTTTGAAATCTAATCTCTTGTCATTTTAGCAACAAATGAAGATAATCTGCATGGATCGATTCATAGCCTCCAAACTTCATCCCACTTGCAGAAGTCTTTCTCCTGTGTAGAAAGCAGCATTTCAATATAATAATCCTACTAAGTTGTCTTTCTGCTTTGGGATGCTGCCGACATTTGTTTGGTCAGTTCCAGAGAAAAATGGCCGAGGTGTTACTGTTCTAATTTCTACAATACATTTTCACTGACGTGTTTATGCTTTCATTTTAGTTCAGTGGTGTTTTGTAAAATGGAAGGAAATCTTTAAGTGCTGTCTGCAAAGGAAAACAGAAATGTATGCAAAGTACTCTATATTTGCAAAGTACACTATCACTGAATAAAACAATTTGCAGTTCATCCGTTTGTTCTGGGAGAGTTGCTTTGTGTGTACAAATTTATCACCTTACCCTTGTGGGATTTCATTACTAATTACATCACGTTACATTAATTACATAAAATTTCACTCTCGTGGCTTCTGTCCCATGGTAAGGAACCATGTTGAGAACTCACATCTATTGCTGCTTCTGCTTAGTGTTAAGTGTTTTAATGAGCTAAATCCTTATATGGATATTAAGATATATTTTTGCACAAAAATGTTTTATTTTGCTAAGTCCAAACAAGTAATCAGTTTTGCTAGAACCATATATTTAAGGAATTAGCTAGCTGATAATAAACACCACCCAAATTATTAAGCCATTCATGGTGCATGTTTTTCTATCTCCTCAGTGATTATTGAAGCAGGTACATCTAAAATACGTATTTTGTGTTAAGGTTGTAAAGAACTGAACTAGTCCTGGTACAGACTATATATGTAAGCGAGTAAAACTGCGGGAATACAAGATAATTATGAAGTGGTATCAACTTGATGCAGAACCTTTCCAACCTTTAGCACATGGCTATTTTAGTTATACTGACTTTTAAATACTTCTGTATAAAATGGACATAGATAATGAAATTATAGTACTGTATGTGTTATGATGTCCCACTTTAATTTAGCTTTCCTTTGTGCTGCAGCTGCACCAAACAACTCTCAAGAGCATGTAGATGATTCTTCCTGTTGGGCTTGGAAACATAACCCAGTTCATGGTTAAGTGGGATTAAACTCTGAGCTCTCTAAACTGCCAAGTGGGTCATGCTAAGCAGCTGTGGTATGGCAGAAATTGCCCTCTGGGGGCAAATGTACTGCTCTAAACCCAGCATGGAATTGTTCCAGATTCTGTAAAATGGAAACTCTTACAGCAGGCATACAGATGCCCCAAATGTTCCTCTTCCCCATGCAGGCACTGATTTTTGCGTGTTGTCTTTTGAGCACAGTATAACTTTGTTTTTTTTAAAGATGCAAGACTGCCATGAAAAATGTTTTCAAATGTTTTACTACTGTTTTTATTAGTGCAAAAATAGCTCAACAACAGGCAGAAAGCTCTGGTTAGGAGCAAACTCTGAACATCTAGCTTAGAAGCTAACACAACTACTCTAATAAACTGCTTCTGGCTTACTTCTGTGTTAGAGCAAAATTAATTTAGTTAAAGCACACTACTTATTATAGACCTCCTCTTTCTTCTGTATATAGCAAATATACAGGCCCAGACCAAGTTTGTCTGCTTGAAAAAAGCTGACAGCCCCAAGTATGTGTCTTATTTTCCAAACTACAACATTTTCATGTGCGTATTATTATCAAGAGCAAGATGCCAGGCCATACCCAAAGCTATAGCTGGGCAACACACTGGTATAAGTTATGCAATTGTAGATGGGAAAAGAGTCCTTATCCAAAGGCAAGGCTATGACTGTACCACCTTCAAGCATCTTTGTCAGTGGCAGTGCAAGACCGGTTACTCCCCATCCCAGACTGACTCGGCAGCAGAAAGCTGTACATGCTGTTTCTCTCCCCTCAAATGAAGTCACTAGTTGATGTTTTCCTACCTGTTCCTTCAACTTTTTTTTTTTTCCAGGCAAGTGCCTGTATGCAGCATTTGTCTTAAATCAGAAAACAGAACCTCCACTACCTGAATTTGAGTAAAGCAGCAGCTGAAGCCTAGAAGGGCCAGCTGAAGCCAGTCACTGAGATTTGAAAGCACTGGTGGAAAACAGACTCACCTTGAGGTAGTGGTGGTTTTGAATGACACTTCAAAGGAGATGGTTTCCTCAAAACCCAGTTCAGACCCTGCAGGAAGTGATTCAGCATCTCCTTCCCAGGTATGGGAACGGATTCATGGCAACCCTTTAAACTGGAGCCTCTGCATAATTTTCACTTGCCCTCAGAAGTTGCCCAAAATGCACTGGAATCAACTGCTGTTTTGTTAAGTGTATTTTCTGCTGGAGGCATCTGCTTTCAGGTAGATGGACCCACTGGAGAAAAGTATTGTGGAAAGTGCAGTTGCCTCAAAAGAGCAAGAAATTCAGTAGTTCAGCTGGCATGATCTTATCAAAAAGGATAGGAAATCAGTCAGAAAAACAATGATCTGGGCAAGCAGAGATAGTAACCTAATTCTGGGGGCCTGGGGTTCCCCTGAAAGTTGGTCAGTGTTACACTACAGCAGGCATGGACGTAAGAGGTGGTTACCTTGTTCTGTTTAAAAATCAGAGCTACACTAAAACTTAACACTCTCCCATAACAAATGGCACAGCCAGTGATAAAATACATGACAGCTTTTCACTCTTCTGATAACTTCAAGCAAGACACATAGACTGCTTTGGACCCTTGAATCCTGAACACAAATGCAGTCTTAAATTTTGTACTCTTACTAAAAAGTCAGTGAAAGTGCAGGTTGTCTGAAAATCTGGTTAGAAATTTCATTCTGATTCATGTATAATGAACCCAATAACCACATTATTAAAATTACATTGTCCTCTATAATTTAGGAAGTCTATATCCATATATTTGGCACTACTATCCACCTTCATTTACAGATAACAGCTGCTGCTTCAAAATCCAACTGCCAGAGCATAGTTAAAATATAGAGGATGTTCAACACTATTATCATACTGAAGATGCTAATATTTAAGAAACTACTGAGTTAAAACTCTCTCCTCATCAAATCTGTAGGCATATCAGTAGTTTCTTCAAAGTAAAATGCCATCACTCAGTGTAAAAATGTGAGTTTTACAGAACACTAAAATCCTCTTGAATCACTAAGATGTAGCTAAAAATGTTTATTAAATCAGCATTTAAAACAAAAATTACTGTTTCAACTTGTTGCAGACATTGCCCAGATATCTTCAATCTTTGAAGAAAACTGTCTCTTGCCTTGTAGAGAACATTGTAAAGATTTAAAAAACTTACTGTTAGCTGAAGTGAGGACCCAGCTCCACACAATCTGTTGCACACAGTTGAAAACGTGTACTAAAAGTGCCTCATAAATCAAATTTCTTAAGCATTTTGTATTTTATTTCAAGATGTGGAAAGCAAAAAGAAATTTGCCTGCTGAACTTTCATTCCTTTTATTACTTCAGAGTTTTAATCTTCAAATTTTATAGATCTAGATGTGTATTTGTCTATGTATACTTTTTTGTTGGCAGCAGGTTGAAATCCAAGACCAATTCCTTTATGTTGCTTCAAGTCCATTGCTTTATCAAATTCCATCTTCAGAGCCTGCTGTAACTTCTCCTGCCCTTCCCTGTTCAGAGCCATGTTTGGTTTGTTCGTAGTTGCTGAGAGATTCTGCATAGGCACAGAGCCCCTCTTAAAGCCACCCATCAGTCTAAAAAACTTCCTTTCTTCCTCAGGACTTTGAAAAGCAGCTGTAGTCCACTGTCCAAACTTTGTATCCTGTGAAGCAAAACAGGTTAAGGCTAAAATTAAATAATACCAAGACCAAGGAAGACAATTTCTGGCAGTGTACCACAAGAACAGAGCCAGCTCCAACAACCTGGCAGGGCTGACAAAGCTGGGAAGCAGTCATTCCATGGGTAGTACCTCTTGAAGGACATGATACAAGAATGACATAACCCTGAGTGCATCTTCATTAGCATTTCAGTTAATTTAACCTGTAGATAGGGTTTAATGCACTTTCAGAATCTCCTTTCCCTCTGTCTTTAGGAATCTTGGCTTTTCTGCTCTCAGTAATAGTTACTTGGCTCAAAGAGCCAAATACTGTCTAATCATTTCTCTTATTCTAAGACAACTGTCAGACTTAATCCTCTTTCACTCTGTCACTTTGTACAGTCATCTTTTCCTATTGCCTAGTAAGGTAGCTGTTGTTTTCAGCAGTGCTTTGTTATGTCAGTTTTGGAGACCGTGTTCAATTGGGCTCATACACTTTTCACTTGCATTCCCATCCCACTAATTACCACTAATAGTGCAAGGGTGCAAAAACTGAGGCCATACCCTTATCCAACAGGACTAAATATAGTACTCTTAAAGCCTCCCCTCCCTCGCAGTTGGCTGTATGTTTTTTTTATTTGCTCTATTCACCTTTCACTGTATTCTTTGAACTAGTTCACTCCTTCAGGATTTTTTTTATAGTCTGCAGATACTGGCTCCTTTCTGAGAATACAGGCAACGTCCAAGTAAAATCAGAATGCAGCTGTTTGTAGAGAACTCAAGATACATCAGATGATTTACAAAGTTTATGAACTTTTTGGCTTACCTAAGAATGGGCTTCATTATCTAAGGATCTTATTTGACTGCTGAGCTATAGCTAGGAGCAAGGCAGTCATTTATAACTATTTTTGGCAGGGTTGCTACTTTCAATTTTTCTTTAAAGTTGGGGGTGATATTAAATGAAAGAATGTTTCATCATTAATTAAGTAGGCTGAGCTGGCTACATCAAAGGAAAAAACGTGAATTTAGTGGTGTGTTTATGTTAGCCTGAAATCCTTCCAACTGAACAGTTGTAGCTTGCATGAAACAGTCATTCTCCACTAGACAGCTAACATGACACACAGCATGCTACACAATATTGCAGGCAAGCTGTAGCAGGTTTTTTAAGTTTAAAAAATGCAAGGCTGGAATATCATTCACTTATCACAGACCAGAATACCTGCTATTAAAAGAAAGCTGTCCATAATACTTCAGTACTTTTACCTTGCTCAAAGACAAGTTGCTGTATAAGCCCAGGTCTGCGACACAGACACATGCACATAAATACATGTCCTCCCTTCGGAACGGGAGACATCTGCACAGATGCAAAAATAATTATGGCTTGTCAAACCCTGTAATTTTTTTTTAAAGTGAATTGCTGGCAGGCACTACACGTAGCTTTTGCTGCAGCATTTCCAGCTCACTCTTTGTGAAGCTGATGAATTACTTTTCATAGCTTCTATTCTTTTGCATACTACTAAACAGAGACAGATCAGCACCAAAGAACTGAGATCCCCTGCCAAGGATGTAATTTTTCTCAATGACTTCAGAGACTATTAGATAGCTGCAGTTCCAGAGCTATTGCAGTCTGCCTCCCACTATGTAAAAACCTACAGTTGTTTCTGGCATATTTTGAGGTATATGCCAACTCTCTAGGCATACTGGCAGTCTTGTGAAACAACTAAGAATCCAGAATTACTAGCAAAGCTTTCTCCCCTGAATCTTCTTACCCCTGCTAAACGCTACTGCAACAGTTTCCACTACCTTACTGTAAATCTGTCAGCAGTCAGGCTGAGTAGGATGCAAAAGCAAAGAACAAAGAATCATCTTTCAAAGAGGTGGAGGAAAGATGTAGAAGTTAGAGAACTGACTGTAAGTATCACAGACATGCATTATCACTTGTCATCCCTTCTGCCTTTCCATGTGCACCCGTTTCTGAATGTCTGAAAATCTTCCAGATAACAATTCAAATACAATTCAGTGACTGCTCTACCCATAGCCTAGAATTACTTCTATTTCACAGTAAAAAGAAAATGCTTCTGTAGCAATTTATCCGAGCTCATTCTCCAGAAGAACGAGAGAAAATGTTGCTTTTAAGGACTGATGATGGGAATTAAGAGCACTGTACAAGGCCAACTGCTGTTGGAGTTCACTGGTCAGGCCCCAGACACTCTTGGGATTGTACTAACTTGTCCTATAGCATGACCTTATATTTAGTCAGAAGGAAAACTGTTGGGCCAAGCCGTGTACCTGAGCCACATACAAAAAGAGCGTGCAGTGCCTTTTTCAGGAACTTGCTCTGGGACACAGTATTTCCATCATATCAAGGTCTTAAGTTCATACATACCTGTTGCACTTTGGGACTGAAAACCTTAGTTTTGCCAGATTCTCTATCGATTTCTTCTTGCAAAGCCTGCCGCCTCACCTAGTATGCAGAAAAAACAGGACAAGACAACATCCTCTGTGTGTTAAATGACAATTTAATTCACAATGAAAAGATAAGGGAAGAGTAAAATAATTAGTTATCTTCAGAATTGTGTGAGACTAATTAAAAAGTTGTGTGTGATCCTTTCACACGCTCAAGACAGCAACTGTCACTTTTCTAGTGGTATTTTAAATTTAACATTTTGCTGTAACAGACCTGTTTAATCTAACTGCAGGGAACAGCTACACTGAACCTGACAACACTGGTGAGAGACAGAGAAACCTGTACTGAACCCAGTAAGCTCCTTAGAAGTGTCTCACATTGACTGGAGCTGTACATTTTGGACTTAACCCACAGAAGGTAAAGCACATTTTAAGCAGAGATCTGTTTAGGGAAATCTTGGCACAGACAAACAACAAAGCAGGTTTTTTATTACAGATTCTATGCATACATTAAATGCTGACTTGCTTTAAATCTTACACAATTAAGACAAAGCATACCTTGTCTATGTTAACTTCGTCGCAGTTTCCTTTTTTTTCCTGCACAATAGTTACATCATCTGCATGTTCCTATAAAACAGGAAAAAGCTTCTATGAATATTTTTATCTGTTCTGGTTAATTAGAATTTATACAGCTCTGACCATGAAAGTAGTAAAAACACTAAGCGATACAGTAGTACTGTTCTGGGGCAAGAAGAAATAGATCTAAGCTGGAAATGCCAATTAAACCTATATCTTTCTAGGGACTTTTTTGCCAAGGAAGAGATCCTTTTTTTAACACAGAGGATAAGGGAATTTTTTTAATTCCCACATTAAATTTGGCCTGCCAACATCACTGGCACATACAGTAATGTTTGTAGACACCATAATTTCATAAAAATGTAAATGTATACTTGAAATAAGGAACAGAAAGAAAGTAGAAAAAAAATTAAATTGGTGGTAAAATAATGGCCCCTCTTGAAGGCACAGGACAAGCTTGAGGCATGTTGACCCCACTAGCCATTTCAAAAAACACCCCAAAACAAACCAAACAACAACGCCCCCCCCAAACAACTGAGAGGCAGCTGTGTTGTGCTCTGTCTTGTACAAATGCAGAGTAGATGATGGGCCCTAAGGAGCTTCCAGTCTGCAAAGAGCACAGGGAGAGGTGTGGCACATACATAAAATGTGTCCTACAATGGCAGGAAACGCCAGGAACGCGTTTGAGAGTGAGGATGTGAAGAGACAGAGCAGCTACTGCAGGAATGGATGGGCAGAATGGCAGGAGGTAAATCCGTGGCAGAGCCCACAAGCAGCATATACTGATAACTCCGCTCATCAGCAGCTATTGCTGGTGCTTCTAGATCACTGTCCTCAGCCCTTCTTTTCCAAATTTGTAATAAGGATCAGATTTTGGGGCATCCAGTGTAACAGGATAAGTAATAAGTCCAGGATAGTGGTAAATTAGAGCCATAAGCTTTAGACCAGCCTGGAGAAGGTGGCCAAAGGGAAGATCTATTGATACTGCTAATATAATAATCCAAGCATGAAATAGCCAGGGAACACCAAGACAAGGAAAAGATTTGTAACATACTTCTGTCAGCAGAAGCTGCTGTTACTTTTTTGAGAGTTTACAGTTTTATTTAAAGCCATGAATGATTCACTTCATTTTCCGAAGTCTTTTATACATTAATTTCACACGCACACAAGCACATGCACCATTAAGAATGCAAGAACACTGTCTGCAATAAGGAGAGCTCATTCTCTTGGATGAAAAGAAAAAAAAAAACAAACACCAAAAAACCCCAAACCAATTTACTTCTAGATGGCTTGGTACTGTCTTTTCAGATCTATTAAAACAAACAGGAAAACTGTCCTGACAGAATTCTGCAAACAGCTGCAACATATTTTCTTTTTAGCTGGAAGGTTAAGTGGCAGACAAGGAGGAAGGGTGGACCCCCATCCCTGCTAGTTCACAGCACATCGCTGACCCGCTGAAGGCTACTGTGTGGCAAGTTACCCCCTCTGGAGGTGTGCCAATCTTCCCTCAACTTCATGGAAGGGGAGCACATTCACACATGGCAGGCTTATGCTATCTGCAGGCAAACAACTTCAAAGAACTACCAAGTCCTCACTGCTCCTCGCCCTGCCCAAGTTGACTGTAAGGGCATCCAATAGGAAAAATACCAATCACTGACATGAAGTGGGTATCACTCCACATTCCTCTTTTGCTGCACAATCCCAACACAAGATCTTTCAAGGCATGCAGCAGTACATGTGACACACTATAGACTAGAAAATGTTTCAGGACTACGGCACAATTAAATGCAAGATGGATGTTAACATTTATTGCAACAGTGTCTTTTGGCTTGGTGGGAACTAGATATCTCTAGAACTGATTTACCCAGACTTGTCAATCTTCAGGAGAATTTCTCTGAAGTACTTTTATTATTAAATGACAGCGCTGAATATGGGAAAGAGAAAGCAAACATCCATCACCCTACACTCTTCTCAACTGTCTGCAAGGCGTTTGCTGTGTTTTCCATTGTAATTGGTCATGCAAGTTTACTTGTCATTGTTAGGCTTATCTTGCCTCCACAGAACGTGAGCAGCTGCAAGAATCCAAAAAGGCAATGTCAATTTAATTAGAAAATATATCCCAGCAATGAAACCACCTTGTCCTTTGAAAGGTCAAAACCAGAAACCTAAATAAAGTGACTCACGCATCTGCTCACCTAATGACCATACACACTCTCAACACAAACACTTGTGGAAAAAGCCTGTATCTGGGTCTTCATGAAGGCTGAAGAGCCTGCTTATATAAATCTATAGTTAATTATTAGCACCAGACACCAGAAAGCTGCCAGGTTTCCACAGAACATGAAGACACTGCATATATGAGTGCATAACAAACCAAACCAGATCGTAAAGTGTGCCTGAGAGGCAGCAAGTGCTATGGTCCGCTCAAGCTCTGGTTTGCAAAAATCTTCAGTGATGCTTTATTAACTAGTGCTTGACTTTTAAACAAGCCAAGCATTCAAAGTACTTGACAAAAAGCAAGTGGAGTGCCATTTCCCTGTTACCTGAAAATAAAACCAAGCTCCTAATGACTTGCAATGTGCTGTTTTCAAAACTATTTAAGCAGCTAAAAATACAGGTACCTACTGAATTTCTGAGCATCTCACAGCTTAATTCCCAATGATACCAACAGAGGTTAGGCGTGTAGGTACTAACTTCAGGCACTTAAATAGCTTTAAAATATGATCCTAATCAGATAAAAAAAAGAAAGTGTTTAAAAAAAGTTAAAGCCATAAAACCTGATCTTAATCGTCTATTAAAAAAAAATAATCAAAGAAGAAACCTCCCTATTTCAAATCTTTCATCAGTTCCTCTCCACATTTGTTTCAACTCAGAAATGGCAGTACTGCAAGGTTCTCTGATGGGATTTCCTTTAACAGCCAGCCTGGATATCTTCAGATATAATTTACATAGCTCTTACCTACTTATTTTCTTGCATAGATTCATTTTTTAATTAAGAATTTGTGTTTAGGTTGTTCTCTAGCATTATTCTATCATTATTTATACATCAGTGCTCTAGGCCTAGTCTACACTTAAGAATCTCAACAACAGATTTTAGCTAAATTTCCCCCTTGGTCCTAACACTACATAATTCCAGCACCAACAGCAGCAAAAGCCTCAGGAAAAGTCTAACAAACACAGATGAACTCATGCTGCCAGTTACCAACCTGCTCAGGTTAAATGGCGTGGTATCAAAATCCTATTTTATAGGACTGTTGCCACTTTGCTAAGAGCAACTGAAGGAGGGATAGAAGAATATGACTATACATACTAGTTTTCTTTTTGTGCCAAGACTTGCTGTTAGTTGTAATACATTTTCACAACTGAAACACTAGATACAGTAGGCATTAAAAAATACATTCCTGTGTTTCACAACTATTACACGCTGAAATCAACAGATCAGCTGATCCTGCTTCTCAAAACCCGGAGACCCCTATTGACCTAAATGTAACCCAAGGGTCTGATCAGGCAGAACAGCCAGCAAAATAAGACTGCCTAAAAAGCTTTCAATTCCCTAGCAGGAGGTGCAAAGATCCCCTCTTCTTTACAACTTACCAGTGCCTCATTTCCCATGTCTTCTCTTTTGATCTTTTTCTGTTTTCTATTTGCTTTTGAAACTGGTTCTTCAGCAAAGTCCTTTGGTCCTTCTTTGTTGCTTTTTTTCCTTTTTCTGTCACAGAGCATATGATTACTATTGCATAATACCCTATCTACAACATCCCCTGTGACACAGTCAGCTCTCTTCATTTCGCTCTCTTTGTTCTTTTCATTACTTTCTAGTCGTGTTATCTTTTGGCTTTTAGATGCACTGTCATCGTTTAAAGAAACTTTTGAATATGTTGTTTCCTCCTCCTCTTTCTGAATCTTCTTTTTCTTTTTCTTCTTGATGACTTCAATATTATGCTTGACATTTTTCCTGCTTTTTTTTCCAGAATGCTTTTTTTCCTCAGACTCAACTTTGTGCTGTCCTAGGAGATGCTTATCAAGAATTCTGTGACTGTAGTCTTGATTACCTTCACATGTTAAGGAAGAAACATCTTTGCTTCTCTTCCTCTTCCTCTTGGTCTCTCTGATATTTCCAGAGTTATCAGCAGTGTTCTCTTCCTCTCTATTTGTCAATGTAAGTTTCTGGGAATTCCTTCTTTGCCTTTTCCTGAAGTCACTTAATGCAATGGGGCTATCAGGAACTTCACAGATGTTGTCCCAAATACTTGCTAGTGGTAAAATGGAGCTGGATTTAACTTTCTTTTTCTTCCTCTTCTTTCTTCTCACATAACTCTCCCCATCATTCTGGATAATATTTGTTTCATGTTTTTGGCCCATAAAACCATCTTTGTGGGGGTTTTTACAAACTTTTCCAGACTGTTCACTCTCCTGCATGTCCTCTAATGGAAAAATGTTTTTCTTCTTCTTTTTCTTAGTTACTTTACAGTCCAATTCCAAATTCAAAGCAGTATTCTGATTATTCGCCAATGATAAGGAGGAATGACATTGGACTTTTTTTTTCTTCTTTTTGAGAATATTAATTTGTTCCTCTAATACTTCTTCTTGAGGTTCTGAATTCAGATGGCCTTCCACATTCACAAAGCTTTCTGAATGTGCTTCTTTCAGTAATTCAGAGCCTACTTTCTTTTTCTTGTTTTTCTTCTTACTGTTCTTCAGTTCTAATTGGTCTAAACATTTACAAGTTAAATTTTCCTTTTTCCTCACCTTTGTTTTTGTCTCAAGGTCATCATCATCCTCAATTTTAATGACAGTTTCAACATCTTTCTTCATTTTAATGATAGTCTGAGTACTATCAGTTTTCACCTTTCTCTTCTTCTGTACAGGTTCCTCATGAACTTCTTTTCTCTTTTTCTTTATTACCATTCTGAAAAATGAAATGAAGATGTTAATGCACTGCTTCAAGAAGATGGCGCAAGTCCTAGTCTATTTGGTTTTCCTTTATTCTGAAACCATTCCATATCTCTCATTGTCCTCAGCACTCATTTTCCAATTTCATAATCTGCTTTCCACAATGGAGGGAACCAGAAATGCATGCAGGACTGAAAATATAGTCTACCGGAATGGTCAAGGAGTGATTTTTTTGTCTTGTTCTTTAGTGCTGTTGTAGTCTGTAACTTTCTATTTGTCTTTTTCACAACTGCTGAGCATGAGATTTTCACAGAAATATCTACCCTCTAAAAATCTTTCCTAAATGGCAAAACATACTTATTGATTTATATATATGAATAGTTAAAGTGGCTTCGCACATATGCGTGACTTTCCACTTATTTAACACTGAACTTCACACCACTTTACTGCCCACTTAGCATTACAAGATCCTCTCAAGGCACCTTAGTTATCACCTTGAATTTGCTTCTGCTTGCAATTTCTCATCCTTGCTATCTGTTTCCTTTCAAAGGACATTTATGCTTATGAGCAGGTTACAGCAGAGAAGCCTTTGGGACCCATCTGGTGACACTCCCTCCCTTTGCTGGGAAACCTATTCCTACTTGGTTTCTCATCTTTTAATCAATAACTAATCCACAGGATTTGTTTTAAGTTCAGCTTGGAAGGCATCCTGTCAAAATCCTTTAAAAAAATTAATCTAAGTAGATCATAATATAGTTGTTATCTGACTATCAGGGTTTCAAACCAAGCCAGGAGAGGTGCGGGACCGCCACCCGCTTCTCTTGACCTTGCTCCGTGGGAGCCGGGCCCGGGGCTGCCCAGGCCTGCCCACAGGCCACCCCTGCGCCCCGGGATGGGGCCGGGCCCGCCCGCTGAGCCCGATTTAGGGGACCCGCGGGGCGGGGAGAGTCACCCCACATCCCGCTCCCCTCCTGCCCCCGCTACGCGGAAGGAGCGGAGGGCGGCGGCAACACATCGTTACCGCCCAGCTCGGCTCGGCTCGGCCCGCCGCCCCCCCGCCAGCGCTCCGGCGCAGAGTGAGCACTGAAATACACAGGAGAGGGGAGCAAGCACAGCAAAGGAGTTATGCCTCAATTTCACATATGTGATAGGTCACTTAGATGTGGTGATTGACATTAGTAGAACTAAACCTGATCAAAGTCGTTTGAAGTCTAATTTAGACCAAATAAATTCAGCCTAGGTGATTGACATTAGTGGAACTAAAGCTGATCAAGGTTGTTTGAAGTCTAATTTTGACCAAATAAATTCAGCCTAGGAAGAGTTATTTGGCAGACCCAAAAGAAAGACAAACCACTTTAAATTTTTGTCCCCAGCAGTTCTAGGAGCAGCAAAATTAATTCTTTTGGGCATCACATACAGAATTAACTTTTATTTAAATTAGGCATTTTTGTAGATGTTTTAGCTTACTATTCTGTATTTAGGTTACTTTGTTATTTTAAAACTACTTTAAGACATTGTAATTTAAATTGCGTGACAGTTGGTCTGCTTAGACATACCCTGTTTCCCCAGATGAAACTGGCTCCATTACAGGCTGTTATTAAATTTGAGTAGTGAACTCTGCCTGGGGCATTAGTCCACGGATAATATATTGATAATTTGAGCATCTGAATAAAATCGTATACCTTTTTATGTTGATGCACTTTCTTTTAATTTCCAAAAGGATCATTTTTTCATCTTGCATATGTTAAAAAGCAGTCTGTCTGCAGCCATTGACATGCAGTGTATTAGAAGTGTAGTGGCCTGATCCCACCAGCTGCTTTTCAGTAGCTCATAAACTGAATTTTAAAGTGAAACTGTTTAGAAGACATAGTTTTCATAACATGTTTTCATAGCAAACTGCAATGGTGGTGCGTTCTTGGGGATAAAAGGGTGTATCTGCCTTTCTGTAACAGGTGTTGCTCAGTGTCTGTTGGAGTATTCTTCTTGGCTCAGTGTAACAGTTCCTTCACTTCTAAAAACCATACATAAAATTGTAGACTGTCTTTCTCATGGTATCCATAATTGTTTCTGTATGCAGAAACTTAAGATTTGGATTTGCATCTGCTCTGAAT